ATAGAGGAATGAATTTCATCAATAAAAAAATGAAAAATGATCGAGTATTCGCGAGCTCGTCAGTAAGATTGTGAAGAGATCAGAAGTGATCAACAAATCTTTTCACAATGCAGTGAGTCTTTACTAGTACAGCACAAGTTGAATTAAATTCAATGATTATAACTATGGTAATGATAACTAAACTAAAAAAATTACGGTGATAGATTTTCAATTATTTAATACATGTATTGAGAAAACTCGTTTTTCTGAAACAAGCGCTGATATAGTAAAAACTGATCCTTATTTAGTGACTCTTCGAATTAGAAAGGTGTTTGACGAGTAAATGACTATGACATTCAAAATCAGTGTTACAAAACTGATAGCGCAATACAGATTTTCTCTGAAAAAATATTTTGTCAAAACTATATCCGTGATTAAACCCAATTAAAATTCTTTGAGCGAAAAATGTCGATTGATTTTAGATGAAAAATACTTTCGGAGAGAACGTATATTTTAATACACAATTTTTTAAATACTCTTTCAGAATATCATAGTCATGTACTCGTAAAATACATTTCTGATGTGAAGAACCTTTGAATTAGAATCAATTTTCATTATATTAGTGTTAGTTTCGAAAAAAATGATTTTTTCAGTTCATGTATTAAATAACAGAACTACAATAGATGTCTCTATACATAAAGTGACGGAGGCAGTGGAACTTATAGCGTTCCCCTACACACTCTTGAGCCCTTCTAACAAGATTTCCGGAAGATGTACTTTTTCTTCAGAAATCTTGTCAGAGAACTCGAAAAAGTCCTTATGAGAGGAAGACTAAGTCTCCCTCTAACACAAAAACCTGGCTCTTCTACTGTATATACTATTTCACGAGTCCTATCTAATCATGTCGAAAAAGTCGGCAAATAAATTCCATTTTGATCATGAAATCGTCGCCACATTATATGTACTTCGTAGAGTTACCAACTTGTATGAATCTACATGATGCAAACTATTACACGGTCATCATCGATAGCGTCGCGAAAAAAGAGTAAAACATGAGGAAAAAGCCGCCCGTGTTGCTACAGTCTTGAGTAATAGTTTTTTTCTTCGTTCTGTTTTTGGAAGGAGTCGTATGAATGCTTTTTTGTAAAGCAAAGAAACAATGAGTCAATTGCGTGGGAATTACTCATCGATAAAAATGATTGTATTTTTTTTCCGAATTGAAAAATATCTCGAGAAGGATAACAAAAAAAAATAAGCATGAGACGATAACTCACCAACATCTCAATCAAATTAATCATTACATATACTTTTGCACATTGTTTAGTTTTCTATTGGAATTGAGAATTAAGATTATTTTTGAAGTAGAAATAACGCTACTCATCGCCAATAGTGTTTGATTGTAGTGTTCCACAACACTTTAGGTACCGAATTTTTTACAATTAGTCATTTGGGTGTTTCGAAACTCAAAAAAAGTACATAGGACGAGAATCTCGTCCACATTATTATTCATTTTATGACTACATGGATGGAGAAATGTAAAAAGAGAGAATACCAACATTCAAATCTTCTCATTTTTCTTCATTCACGTCATATTTGATGGAAAGGTCTGCATTTTGAACACAACAAGATACCATACAGAAAACAAAGTTTTTCTATTATTAGAAGATTAGAGTAACTTCAATTTGGTGCCCGACAATGAAATATTTTCAGAGCTTGCATTTATCACTTTTTATGAGCGGAAAGTTTTTATCTGAGTCAATATCATGCTATCACAATCACGTGTCTTTTATCTTTTTGCTGTTAAGAAGAAAATTTGCTCTCTGACAGTTTAGAAAAAAATCAGATATTTAACATAAGTATTTGCATACAAAAAGTATGAAAAAAAAAATAATAAAAGGCTTACCTTTAAGCACGTTATCAGCAATTGTTAACTTCCAGTTCTTAACCGTGCGTACTTTCATAAGAATATACCGCATCAATCTAAACATTATATCTTGAAGAAAAACATTTTTTTTATTAACAAAAGCGTAATAATGAAAAAATCTCGAAAAATTAAAGAAACATTGTCACATGTTTGAACTGCGTAGAAGTATTTTGTTAGTAATAAGAACAACGAAGAATATCAGACAGGTGAAAGTACGATATTTTTTAGGTGATATTGATTGTGTTGTATCACTAAGAGTATTCAGTATTTATATACCGATAAGAATATTTTTATGAATTATCTTTCTATTAATTGATATCTGCAACTATTGTTTTCGTTATTGAACACCTAGCAGGGTTCATCTTCAACAATGTTACTTTCATCATAAACTATGTACAATAGATATTTATTGTATACTATGTGGTCTGTACAAACTTTTATGTTTAATAAATATTTTCATCAATTGCTATTTGTTTTGAAAACTTTTCATGCAAAAAATTCTTTTTACTAGAATCGAATTCACGTTGAATATCACTGAATTACAAGACGATTATTTGTTTATTAATCTTTACTTTATCTCTAACATATTTATTGCAGCTCATCCACACGCTTACTATACTTTCTCATTTGCATTCACTATCTGATTGCTTCCTAGTTGCAGCTTTCATCAATCGTGGAATTTACTGTAATGAATACCCTTCAAGGGTTTATGAGCTACAGGAATTATAATTCTACACACAAGAGTAACTTATCTTATGATTTCAGCAATAGCATAGGTTGCTCTAGGACTTTAGCCAAAGGTTTAACTATTCTACTAAAAATGAAACATAATTCTAAGATTTTAGAAGAAGAGTTTACTATACTACGTATAGAAGCAGAATAGTCTATGTTTTCTTCAGTAAGGTTTATTATTCTGAGTACAATAGTAGATTATTTTACGACTTTTTTACGATGTAATCATAACGATAGTTGACTAGAATCGTATACTAGGAATAGAATAAGATAATTTAGTTTCTTTTCTTCTCTTTATTTGATTATTACGTTGTTCTGGCGTATCTCAGGACAAATAAAGAACGAAATCAACCAGCTTGATTTTCTTCTTTTCTTCATTTACTTATGCTCATACTTCTTGCACATTTTATAAGAGAACTGTAATCAGAAACTTACCTTAACTTTTCTTTTTCTTCATTTAGTTATTATGATAAGTGTCCGTCACTTTATGAGTAAAAACAAAAGACGTTACTTTAGTGTCCTTTATGTGTATGAGTTTTACCAATATTTTTCCACATGTGATAAGAGAAATGTAATTACGAATGCAACTTTATTTTTCTCTTTTTATCTCGTTCTCCTGTTAGTTTTCGTTTACTTTATCAGAGAATCAAAATAAAAAAAAATTAGTTTTAGTTTTCCTTTCCTCATTGAGTTATTTAGATAGCTGTTGAGTACGTTATTGCAGAAAAAACAAATATATCCGTTTGTTTTGCTTTGTTTTATTCAATTAGTTTCAGTGATCGTTTTCCAGAGTCTTGTGGAAAAAAAGAAGTTTCTTTTTTCTTCATTGATTTGGTTTACTGGTAGTTATTTAGCATTTTATAGAGGAAAATAGAATACAAACATGTGAGCGCAGTCCCTTTAGAGTCAAAATGTGGAGTTCATAAATGCTGTTTCGCCTCATTAAATCAATGCAAAATAGATAAAGTGAAAGAGATAATCTATTAGGAAAGTCAAGATTTGTCATATTTATTTCAGTATTTCGAACATAAGTTTACCGTTTATTTGCGGGCGCTCTATTTTGTGTCGTGTTGCTATTTGCTCGTTATTTTTCTTTCTCGTATTTTCTCTTTCTCAATTTTACATTGTTATTATTGTAAGTATGGAATTAGCTGACAAATAAGCCTGTTACACATATCTATTATATTTACAGCAGCAGGTCTTAACACACTATTATGTACATCAGTCAATTCACAAACATTAATATTGATTATTTTCCAAAGTTATAATTTGATTAACTCATGCCTTTAATGTTCATCACATGACAACTGTGTCACTGTCTAGAGCATGCAGAGACGTATCTCAGCCATTAAAATTTCAAGAAAGATTTTGGAATGTTCTAGAGCAGTCTAAATCACATCATTAATGTCGTTCAGCATCGTTTGCCGTTGCTGAAAAACTACGAAACGAGTCTAACGTCTGTAATGAAAAGGAGGAAGTTAAAAAGGTTCGACTTAAAACTTGCAACTACAATGTTCTTTGGGAATTTTTAATCACATTCTTACCAAAACAAGTGATCACAATGATTGTATCCGTTGTTGATAAAACAAAACATAACAAAAATTAGAAAAAACTGCAACAAAATCTACTGGACTGTTAAGATTGTACGACGAAGAACAGTTGGAATTGATTGATATAAAGAAAAAAAGTTGAAGGTAGCTATGTACCGACAACACTCTTTAGTTGGGCAAATAAGAAACTCGATGGAGAACCGAACGAAAATATCATTGTTCTCGATGTCTTATATGTCTTGGCTTGAATTTATTGATTCGTTGAAAGAAGATGAAAAAAAAGGCAATAATAAAAAAGAAACCATCGAAAACTTTGTTCCAAATCAATCGTTGGCCGAACAATTGTAGCTTCGTGTTATAAGACAAAAAAAACAATGGGCAACAAAATAACCGAGACATTTAGTTTCCAAATGAGAAAGCATGAAATTCCAATGAACAATGGTGGATTTGTCTCATTAAAACATTTATTCGGATGAGTAATAGTCGTTGCTGGAGGCGAGACCTATTCATATCCGTTATCAGTGAGTAAATCTATCGAAGATGACTCTTCTCAATACATCTATGTCTACTTGGGCCCGTTTACCGACAAAGCTGGTGGTCAGTCGATTGTAAAACAACAGTAGCTAATCAAAGCAGTCGATCAATGAAGAAAATTTCTTCCAGAAATATTTGACAATGTTGGTTTGTTTCGAGCAGATGGTGAAAGTACGAGTTGTTTATACTATGAACCCAATATAAAACAAACGGCAATGTCGCTTTCAGACTCAATGAAATAGCAAAATTTACTTGTTGATTTTGATCAGATCAAATATAGGATGCAACAAGTTCGCTCGGATGTTGTTGATCAAGTAACAATCGAGGAAAATGTACTTGGAGATTATTTCAATTCAAAAGCAACACTATTTCAAACATCGATTAATGCATTTTATGAAGAAATTGCGAAAGGTCTTGAACAAGTATCAAGAACATATGAATGAAACACGAAAAGCAGAATATCACAGGGCAACGAAAAAATGAATTGATCAAGTCAAGCAATCTCAACGGCAACTAGAAGCAGTGATAGAAAAACGAATACTAGAATTAGAGCAGTTTGCGAATGAAGAGTGTAAAAAAAATGTTATTGTCCAAAAAGCAGAACAACGATCGATCACAACTATTGATGCATTGATAAAAGCGAAAGAATCTAGCATTGGCAAGCGAACAATCAGCAAAAAGATCAGTAGAATATTTACAGGAGCTTGTAGATTCAATCGAAAAACGTAAAGCAGAAATGTAAAAAAGTGATGGATGACAGGTTAAGATGGCGTGAAAACACTATAGGCGAACAAAAACAAGAGTACGAAAAAAATCCTAAAGAATTGCAGAGAAATGTTCGTTTTGAAATGGAATGAATGAGAACCCAAGTCGATATTTTCGCGTCGAAAGCAACCAAATCGGAAAAAGCAGCTGAAAAAGTAGCGGCTGATATCAAAGAGATACTAAGACATGCTAAGGACGAAACTGATCATGTTATCGATGCCAAAAAGTATGCGAAAAATTCAGACGAATGTTCAAAAAAATTACAAGAAAAACTTGATAAAATGACAAAAAAAAAATAATCGGAGACGATTGAATAGACTATATTCGAAATGATTTCAACTGCCTGTAACAGAAATGGAAATGAAAAAATTAATAAAATTTGTGCACAACAAATTGTAGTTTGAATAGAAGCCATCATATAAACAAGAAATCAAGAATTATATGTTGTTAATAATGAGAGATATAGGTTTCATTTCTGAGAAACAGTCATGATTAATATTTATGTACTATCTGCATTGCAGAGAGAGGCCCAACTCAGTAATATTTTGGCGTCACAAAATACTAATGAAGATGAAAACATATAGTTACCTAGATCTCATTTCAGATTATTAGTTTTACACAAGTCTATCACATTGAAACGAAGATTATCTGTCTTTCGATCGTATGCATAGTGAATATTTTCCTACAATATCTATAGATGAAATGGTACATTTAATCATGCTAATGACGGTAGCTTAAGCTCGTAATATCACGAGGCATGTATCGAACAATAAACGCAAAACAACATTGAATAAGTTTCAGTTTAGTCTTCATATCAAAATTAATGAGTTTTACGCCATGGAGGATCACCTGAATCATTCATCTTTTGAGCATATTGCAATTTTCACTTCAAGAATAGTGTCATTTTCATGATGAGATGAATACGGAACTTGAACTCACTCCAAAGAAATGACATTGCATGCAGCAATCATACCATGAAAATGATGCAAACATATGAAATTAATATTAACAAATTATCGAAAGAAGAACCTTCTGCACCTCCGAATTTGAAACCAACTTTAATCAACGTCATGTCTCGTATTAAATATACAGTTAAATCACCCTGTATGGAAACCTTTGTAGTCTAGACTGTGAACACTTTTATCCTAGCTTCATTAGCAGCAGATATTCTCTATAAAGTAAACAATCAATTAAGTTGAATGCGTTCTTTGGTTGAGATAAGCTGTTGTCTACTTATACAACATGAAACCAGTACTATAAATCACATCAAGAAAGAAAAGTCAATTGAAGAGATGCCTCAAAAACTATAGCAAGTCCTCAATTAGTTTCTAAGAGTCTTCTTTCTCCCGTGCACACATCGACTCAACAATCCTTGTTCATCAACAAGCCATATAATTGAAAATGACTAACGTCTGGTTTGATTCAAAAAAGTGCGAAATGGGTAAATTATCTAAATTATGTTCAATACAAACTTAGAGAAAACATTAGGCACAAGATTGTTGGTTAGAACGGTGTTCAGCGCAGAATCATTTTTCTTTTGTTAAGATTGATTAGTAAAATGTACATGTTAAAGTTTGATCCAATATCAAGTTGTTGTAAACCGAAAACATGATTTTTTAAAGCAAATTTAGTGTTCTATCTACACATCACCTTGATAATTTCATTATTTTTAAAATGTAAAATCTTACAATGTAATACAGTCAAATGTTTAATTGCTTTTCTATCCATTCAACTACATAGGCCAAAATTTCTTCTTTGTCCAAATCATTATGTAGTTCATGGTAATGCCCTGGCCATTCTTTGTATGTTACGTCACCTCTAATACGTCCATACACCCACTTTCTAATGCGACTAATGGGTGTGATGCTGTCAGCACCTCCATGTTGAACCAATGTTGGGCATGATGCATAAAAAATATGTTTTTCAAAATAAATTCCGACTTCCATCAGAATAGCAACAGTCGCTGCTGGCCATCGATCATGAACACGTATATCCTTACGATAAGCTTCAACAACAATAGGATCGTTCGTATAGATATTCGTATAGTTACCCTCAATAGGTAAACGAAAGTGAGGATTCAAATTAGCAAATGCACGCACAAAGAAAAGCTGTATTGTTGAAGGACGTTTTCTGAGACATATTGATGGTGTGCTTACAATCATAGCCTGGCAATCTAGAGGTGTTTGAGGCCGTTGAATATCATGGATCAGACATAACGCAGATCCTGTACCATGAGAATAGATGATAATTGAAATATCAGGATAAAGTTCAATACGAATGTATTGACTAATACATTCGAGATCATCGAGAACAGCATTAATGTGAGGAAAGTAGCCACGTTCACCACCCGAATCTCCATGGCCTCGTAAGTCAAAGCTCACACATGCCAATCGATGTTCGTTGAAGAATCGGGCAACGTGATTATATCGCTGACTATGTTCACCTGACCCATGTACAATGAGCACAACTGCGCAAGGTTCACCGATTACTACTGACCAATGTCGACCGCTCAATGGAAGCTGGTCATACTTAGAATAACATATAAATGGTTCGCCCTCAAAACTCATATTGATGTCACTGATAATTGCGTCACCAATTTTATTTTTGTCTACCAAAAAAATAAAATCTTTTTGGACATATGTGTACTTAGATAATCATTTTAAATGCAGCTTTTATGGAATTATATTTAATACAAACGCTAATCACTTAGAAAAGCTTTCCGCGTAATACCTATGGGATTAAAGTGTAGAATACGATGAGGGCACTTCATTGAAGACGAAGGAAATCAAACAATGTTGATCACCGTACTTTTGTGGGTGGAAGACCAGCAGGTTAAAATGCTCGCAAATTGTCACAAGCTGTTGAAAGTGCAGGCAAACCCATAGAAAAAAAATGGTCGTTTTTGCTCAGAATCGCAGCCCCAGTTGATGAGAGAAAAACGACTTTTTCTTTTTGTTGTAGTACATTTAAACACGTTTTTAGCACTGGTGACTTCCTGGGACATGCCAAAAACTTCTTGAAACGGTCACAGAATGTGAGAGGCAGCGATATATCTATCAAGATCTGTGATATTGAGAGAGGGGAGTACTTTTCTCTCTATATACTTCAACACACGTTTTCAATCACATTTCGTAATGCCTTATGCCTCATAGAGCATTCAAAAGAGGACATTTGAATATTACTTACAAAGCAAGAAACTGCAATTTCACAAAATACTTCAGGGTCGAAAATATGATGACTCGTCATCTACTGTAAACGATCACAGGAAGGAAGTTGGTAACTTCCAACATAGCTAATTGAGGTAAAAATTTCCAAGTTAATTGCTACAATGAATCATGGCAATTGAGTTGGAAGTTGCCAACTTATTTAATGTAAATGGTCACGGCTTACAGATTTCATTACCATGATATTTCTGATTTTGCCTATGGAAGATAAATTGCGTCACAAAAAAAAACACAACGATGTGTCTGCATTTTGCTAGTTCTCATTTGTTTTAAGCACGCGAAAAAACCAATTCAAAGAAATTAATAAAACTTGGTCGAAAAATGTAAGACTAATATCTTCAGTTACAAATATACACGACACTTATAATTTGAATTTCTGTTGATTTTTATAGGGAAGCCTGGCTTATGCAATGCTATTATAAGTAAGTAAAAGAAAATAATAGAGAATATAGATAAAATGGATCAAATGTTACTTTCAATTAAGATTTAATACATATCGTGCTGGTCTGCAAAAGAAGTATTTGTCGATCGATGATGATGCAACGAGTATGTTCAGTTATTGTGAAAAGGGTTCGAAAGTAGATGGACAACCGACCATTGTATTTGTTCATGGACTTTCATCGAATAAAGAAACATGGCTACCAATTGTTAAAGTAAATCGAATCGTCTACCAATATTCACGCGTAATATATATTTATATATGACTCTTATTTTGTGTAGAATATTCCAAGCAATTATCATTGTATTACAGTAGACTTACCTGCCCATGGAGAAACAATTGGTATGAAAGAAGAGTTCTATACGATTGATAAATTTGTTGAAAAACTCAAATTAGTAATCATCAACTTTTCTTTCATCTCTAATGAAATTCTACATGAAATGTGTACTTCTAGTTTTTCGACAAAATGAATTTCACCGGCCAGTTGTTCATCATTGGTGCATCCATGGGTGGTGCTGTAGTGTCCATGTTTGCAATTAAATATCCAAGTTATGTGAGCTTGATCTGTTTGCTCGCGCCACCTGGTAAGTTCTCACGAGATACGACACACAATATTTACATTTCATTTCAATATTTCAGCTGATGAGCAATGTGAAACTGATCGAATTAAACATTTACGTCAGGGAAATTATGAAGCACTTCTTCCAGAAACAACAGAACAACTCTGTGATATGATAAATTCTTTAACGGTAAAATCAATCAATTTACCTAGGCCGTTTCTCAATGGATTTCTTAATTTACGACTTCAATTACTTGAAGAACATAAGAACGGTAATTAAGAATTTTTAAAAATCTTCAATAAAATAAGAATTATTTCAATCACATCTAGTCCTAAGGTCGCTCCTCGAATACGACTATCCGTATCTTGCTCATCGATATCAACAGCTCAATCAAATAACTTGCCCAGCATTGATTTTATGGGGTCGTGAAGACCGAGTAAGCTTGCTTTAAAAAAATGCTCTAAACGAAGTTAAATCTAATTACTGCTACAGCTGTATACTGTTGATGGTGCACAATACTTTTCAAAATTAATACCAAAATCAGAAGTGATTATTTTCGATGATTGTGGTCATTTCATGGCTATTGATAAACCTGATGAAGTGGCAGACAGTATTGTAGCTTTTTTAAATCGACATTCGAATGGTCAGGTAAACGTGTCTATTTCCACGAAATCTGACTAAGCAATGTTATTTTCAAATGAACATTTTTATTATTTTTCACCAATGCTGCTGAAGATCAACAATAAAAAAATAAAGGAATCATGTGCCAGTGTTGTACAAGTGTCAAGAAGAATGTCAAAATTTAAAACAAAAATAGAGACAGAAGAATACTAATAATATTTCTATTAGGTATCAGTGACGGTATCGATGGGTGGATGGATATGAGTGTGAGTGAAGATGGGTATCTTGTCTTCACTATTGCCCAAATATTCACATCCAAGCCGTAGATAAGCAAGAAAACATAGAAACACAGAAAATTATTTTTATTCACAGATCGAAGTGTATTATGACTTTTTGAATTCTATATTATGGGAAAGTTAAGTTTGAAGTCTGTTTCTAATAAATTACAAAGCAAAAGATTGAAAAATTGAAGCATTAAGAAAAAATATCCTGTATGTATGTAACCAAACGACACTCTACATAAAAATAGGTTCCCATGAAACATGTACATGTCGTGTAGAAATGAACATGTTTCTTCAAGTAATGTTTTCTATGTTGAACTCATAAGTTTGATAAACAGGCTAGTTTGTTCACGACAAATCAAAGTTTTAGAGATTATTTGCATCTAGACATGACAGCAATGAGATGATGTCTATTTATTGAATTTTTGAAATCGAGTTTTCAGAAATTCAATCTTTTCCATGTATACTTTAATAGCAAATGAATCACAGGAATAGTTTCTAGTGCAACTTATACCTGATGAATATTGTGAAACACTTTGGAGATACCTTAAGAAAGATGAGGAAACTTCAAAATATCTCTTATAGTCTATGCTAGGATCATAAACCTACTTGTACACAAATTCACTATACTGACACAAACTGTAATAGACATGCTCTTGTGTCTGTCACCGCCAATGAAAAAAATTACAGGTCATTCAACTTCTGTGATATACAATATTATGACAAACTCGTTCTCTGGAAGATTTAGCTTAACCTACACACAGCTCAAACATGAGTTTTTTACTATTTGGAAGCCTTTTGAAGATAGAATTCACAGATACAAGTGAGAACTCGTAAAATGATTATGGATTATAGAATTAAGATATTTTTCAAAACTTTAGAAAAAATATCGTGTACTTTCGAGAGAACCCAACTATTAAAAATATGAGTTATCATTTATGTCGATAAATCTTATTTGTCAATGGATCTTCAAACTGTAAAAATTCTTTCCTCCATCGACTGTCGTTTCAGCTGTATTCCTCTGGAAAGACATATTTTTCGACGATGTACTCCTCAAAATCCATTATCGATCGGGCTTCATGGATAGAAATCTAGATTAAGGTAAAACCACTCAAAACTATACAAAAAATCTAGTAACTCATCGTAGCTGACAATTGGACCATTGTAGTTGAACCAACTTGTCTGAAAACTCGATCAAAAGAGTATGCTTCGGACAAGTTGTTGTGTTCTAACGCTTTATTTAATTATGTGAAATGCCACAGTTGTTATTTTATGGACATTGTATTTGTTTCTTCAGATATTCCATTAGTTGAAATAAAAAATGGAAGCTATTCATTCATTAGTTAATACTATGAAAAACAGAAACGAACAATCAAATCCTTTTGAACTTATGATGGACGCCAAACGAAAAGAAGTACAATCAAGACGATACGTTCCAGGAAAAGCATCGGATTTCTATTTCCTTTGTCGTAATGGTGAAATCGATCGTATACGTCAAATCCTCGATGCTCCTGATTCTCTATCGATTGACGCATTGAATGCACTTGAACCGAATGGCAGTACACCACTTCATGCAGCAGTATTCTACAATCAAATAGAGATCGTGAAAATGTTACTTGAACGGAACTGTAGTCGAAATACACTGAATCGTTTTGGCAATACTGCATATGATGAAGCCAAAACATCTGAAATGCAAGAATTATTTCATAGACCAGATTCATCGAATCGCTTTCATGACGAAAATACAGCCCATTCTGTAGAAATATATGTTACATCGGAGCATAATGATAGTACGAACGCAAACTTCAAGTTCGACTATGTACATGAATTCCAATCGGATGATGAAATTTCGGAACATGCAGTTAATCAACAAGCATTAGCGATGTGGCTAAAATTTTACAATTGGTTTACCCAAAAGTTTCGTAAATTTTTGGAACGTGATGATTATCATATTGATGCATTTGATTTAGATAAACATGCTGATTTTAAACAATTTCTTGAACATAATGTGTCCAATAGTAGTGATTACCAATTGACAATGGAATTGATAAATAAAGCACGACATTCTAATTCAATCGAACCGCTTATCACATTGTACACAAGTAACAAACCTAATCTGTATGATCCTCTCAATAAACATTTGGTAACTTCATTAACGGATGCTCATATCGGTCCGCACTTGTGCGACCGATTCGTTATGGAATTTTTTATGCGTCGTAACGAATTGAAACAACGTGCATTCACTGGCATTACTTATCGAGGTATTACTCTATCAACTGTCGAATTTAACATTTATAAACGTGCAGCACAAAGTGAATCAAAAAGTGTGCTTAGCTTTAAGTCTTTCACATCTACGTCAAAAGATCCATTGATTGCTCTACGATTCGCAACTCAAAATCCGCCAAAAGAAAATGAAAAAAGGGTTCTATTTACTTTTGAAGTACGTGAAGCAACGTCGACAATTTTTGCCATTGAAGATATTTCCTGCTTTCCTCGCGAACGTGAAGTACTTATTCTACCAGGAAGTTTATTCATTATTGATAGTGTTCAAGAAAACTTTAACATGGATATAACAACAATTCGTCTGATACATTGGAAAGTACCAATTTCATTTTTTAAAAAAATCAATCAAACAGTTCGATGCGCTAGAAAAAGCTTTTTATCATGAACAACTAAATTAAACAAAGCTAACTTTTCGCTGTTGAGTTCTACATACCTAGAATCATGAATAACCATCAAAATTCATTGTATCAAATTATTATAAGAATTTCAAAAAACTGTGTTTGTATATGTATATATTTTCAAGATTCATTAGACATAATTTGTTTTTGTCTCCATCTATATATTAATACATGTAAATGAACAAATTATCTATCGTAGCAACAGTCAATTTTTTTCCACACGTACTTCAAAGAAAAGAACTTTCTTTGTGCATTTATATTTGTCATTCTTTTCTTCATTGATAATTGCTTTAGTTCCTAGTTCTCTATGTTTAGTCATGATTCCAATAATAAAGCTTTTCAATGTCTAGTCTCGATTTTGCTCATGTCTGATAAGGGTGTGGGTGTGGGTGGGGTGTGGGTGTGGGTGGGGTGGGTGTGGGTTTGGGTGTGAGTGTGGATGTGTGGGTGCGGGTGCAGGTATGAAAGACTAGGGAACCACGAGGACACCAACACCCACACCCACACCCACACCCACCCACACCCATACCCACACACCCACACCCCACACCCACACCCTAGTTTAGTTCGAATTCTGTCTGAAACGGTTCAAAAATCGACTATTGAGTTCATCTTCGTCATACCATTGATCTTTTTTGATTAATTAAGATATTATTGATAATTTAAGCTATTGAATTATACCGATTTTTTTCATGAAAAATCTCTATTTCATAAAGCCACATCCAGTATTCTATCTGAAAATTTTGTGTATTCTCTCATTTTCGTTTAAGTGACTGCATCAGCATTTTTCGACTTCGACAAATAGTTCATGAAAAGAATCGTTTGTCAGAATCAAAATTGACTAGACTATATGGAATTTGAATATGCAAATATTTTTATTTAATTATATACGATTTTTATATCAATATCATAATGTCAAAGTTTCTTCTACCAATGAATATCAAACTTGATGGGAAGATGATCACTGATGCGAAGTGCATCGTCCAATGTCATGCCGAACGTTTTAGCGAAATCTACTGTCGTATTACTTTGTGCTACGATTGCATTAACAAAATTATTTCCGTTGACAAGAATACGATCGTATGTGCAAGTTTGTCGAGTGTTTGTTTTCACCTGATTGTTGATCATCCATTTGAAATCAGCAAAGAAAACATTTCTGTGAAAGATAACATAGATTTATAGCTTTTTTCATATCATTATCTTGATAAACTCACCGAAGAAGCTCTTGCCGTGCAAGTGATATGTACGTACAATCTGCATTAAAATCGCCGACGATCAAAATTGGATGTTGTGTGTTCAAACTCGGCCTATTCTGATCTGTAGGATTTACAACATTTTGTTCGAGAGCTTCGGCATGAGATGTTGGTGTTTGAGAAAAATATTCCGGATGTCGAATAATAAAGTCTTCGATAACATGACGCATATTGATCAACTCTTGATAGGCATCATCAGGTCGCAAATGTACATTCATTGTCTATTCACCAATCTCAACTAATAAGTTTCATCGGATTTATATATCGACGAAAGAGAAGGTAACAACATTTCTGAATAACCGATCATGATAGTAAACGTTTTGACACCGAATTTGCCTGGTTGCTTGATTTTGTATGTAGCCATGAACCTAGAAAAGGACAAAGACACGTTATTCGACAAGACAACTTGATACACCTGGCTTACTTACGGTGCTCGTTCGAAATAATCGTAGATACTGTCGTCGTAGACAGATGCGCTAAGAAGTTGTAAGCCAGAAGTTGCCTCTCGATTAAAAAAAATGTACTGTTCCTTCGACGTTGAATCGCCGACACGTTCACTTAATGCCATAGTATAGGCACCCGATGATGAAACCTTGTTAAGTGCCTCGGAAAGGATATAGGGTGCTTTCAAATTCACATCAGTAATCTCTTGAATGACAGCCAAGTCAAAATCATTGATTATTTGGGCAACAATACTAGTCAATGTAGCATTGGATGATTTTTTGGGACCATATTGATGTAAATTAAAGGAACCGATTCGAATAGCCAAAGCTAACGAGCCAAGTATGGTTACGAGAATTAACGTGCGTAAGATGTTAAGCATACTTTCTTGCTGTTCCAAATTCTCTTTATAGTTATTATTAAAACTGCATTCTTCGATAACGAATGTTGACTGTCAACTTTTAGACGAGTTTACGTCAAGCTTTTATGGGCTACTAAAGATTTACCAAGATGATTTATTGAAATTGATCACTTAAAGTGTAATTGTGTATGAAAAATAAAGAAATGTTTTTTATCGCCATCCATATATCTCAAATCTCATAAATATCATCATACGAAGTTGATTTACTTGTTTTTCAGATTGTATGTAACAGTTACATGAGAGGATGTGAGTGTATGTGTAGCTGTAAGGATGTGAAATGTAGCTATGGATCTGAATGTCAGTGTATATGAATGGATGTGAACATAAATATTAATATTCGGTGCTTCAAAATGCATTTCCAACTTCACCCATCCACGTCTATAGCCTCGTTTTAAGAACAAGACTTCCAAAAAACTCTATGGCAACTTTGTAACACCACCTAAACAGACTTAGAGCATTATTATACGATATGGACATTGTTTAGAGTGCTGAGATACAAGATAAAACGTTATTAGTTCCAGATAACTAGGATAAAATTCATAAATACTGCCTATTTTCTTAGATGCTTTCGAATAAATATGCAAAAACTGCATCAAATATATCTCATCCATAGATAACATGTACGTATTCTGAGAGAAGACAATCGGGCCTGTAAGAATATGTGCATTCTGAAAAACTGGATTTCTAAAGGAAAATCGACTTTCTGAGAAGGTTGCCTTTGAAATGTTTTTTGAAAAGATGGATCGTCTTTACAGTCTCTTCTGTTTATGATTGAACTGCTTTTCGAGTCACTTTTTCGGAGAAAAATAGACAAGTCATTATGGCAATGTTGATTGAACAAAAGATACTTTTCAATGACTTTTGGTCTATCGTGATTTGTAATTACTAATTAACGCTGATCTTTACTCTGAATTCAACAGCAATTAAATCATAATGACTATATTTATCTTTATTATATGCTATTATTCAATTTGATTCACATAAGCGTAGCTGTTTTCGATTGAGATATGAGAAAATCCATTTTCTACCTATGCATCACTAATGCAAAACTAATTAAATGTTTTCTCAGGAAAACGTTAAAAAACAAGTTCCACGAATTTTCTCCGTTGCTGGTATGATGTAACAAAGTGTGGAAAGCAAAGTATCGATCACCTGTGATAAACAAGGCAATATTGGAAATGCATGAACGTGAAGTATTACAAAGACAATTAGGAGAGAATAGATTCTATCGTCTGAGTGTTTCAAAAGTCAAAAGATATTGTACGAGAGAGTCTGTAGATGTAGTTGTGGAACTAGAATATGGGTGCGACTTGTTTCTTCACTAATATTCAGCCATATAGTTTTAAATTTTTACTGAACTCGAGTAAAACGATAATTTCTCGACTTCTCTCAAGAAGCAAAATAAGTTTTCTTTGTAATATGAAGTTTTTCAAAAATTTAGTCCACATGCACATTAAAATAATATTATTCGATTATCGAAAAGTTTTTAAATATGTTGTTGCTAATATTCTCGGACCTGTTTATTTTTTTTGTCTTTTGTGTTGCATATTCAATAACAAAAAACAGAAATTAATTGTCTTTACTTAGTTCAAATTTCGACTTGTTCAGGACTCAAACTATCTTAATCTCAACACATTAAAATATGGAAAACAAGTACATTGACAAGTGTTGGTTTTATACGAAATATTTCATATAGAGCCAAATTCTGTTGAGATTTGGTATTTCAAAAAGAAATCAATGATTGAACTAAGTCATATTCGAGGAATAATGTGAATTTTTCTCTTATCTATTATTCAATGTTGATCATTAATATGTAATGGTGACTGTACTTTCTTCAGATTGATAATTAAAATGTAATTCTATTAAGAATAATCTATTATGTTTTAATAATGATTGAAAAGAATCAAATAATTATCGAAGACTTCTATCATCTTATAAAAGGTTTTCAGATATTCATATTGTTTGGTATTAGTGAGATCAAAAGTACAAATGTCGAAAAGCATTTTACAAAATCTTAAATACCAAAACATATTCCATATTGTACGAGATAATATTTACATTCTCATAGAGATCATACACAAGTCACAAGAGAAAAAAAGAAAACTTCTCCAAAAAAAATCACGTATTTCAAATTTTCTTTATCTGTAGGATGAGAATAATCCTAAGCATCTCTCATTTTAATTTATTGATTATTTCAGTTCACACGAACTTTTTATCGATAAGTGTAAGTTTTCAATATTTGGTAGTTACCATTAACTGTCGATGATGATTGGTCGACATTTGTTGAAGATAAAACAGATACGGCATGGTAAGAGACTTTTAGTGGTAAAGTAGTTATTTTTTCGACTATTTTAGCTAATCTCTAACAAGTTTTACTCATTACTATTATGATTTAATACGGATTCAAACCAAGTGAATACTAAGAAAGGCAATATTAAACAATAGACATCTAAAATGAGCTTTTATTAGACATCTCACATCTTTTTCTCGATACTTTCTGTTTTCGACATTTTTCCTTTTGACCTTTGTACAACACATGTTCATATTTGTACCATTAAATAGCTGTTTAAAATATCTAACAATTCTATCAGATATATATATATGTGTTAAATAAGATGTATTAAAGAATAAATGTCTCAGATAACGGACATTCTGTATCATTGTAAGAAAAAAGAGACGATACTGTTTTTTTCGGTCTACTCATGTATTTGTATAGTGAATATAAATGATTTCTATTTCAATGTTTATCTTTCTTCCTTTATGAAAACATGCTTGTCAGCCCTCATAAACTGTAAACGGAAGTAATACGAACAAAAATAAAAATAATATTGACATGCCTAACGAAAAAAACTAAGCTTCATGAAATGACTCATGACTATTTTCAAAACTATACGTAAGGTAATGTCGTTGTTATTTTCTCTTATTTTTCTTTTTAAGAAGAATAAATAATATTCGCAAAGAAAAACAACGATTAACTTGTAAAAATGCAAGTATTGATTGCTTATCCATTTAAAAGTGAAATTTGTAATCGTGATCAATTAATTTATTTACCAGAATTAGTTCAAAATGAACCCAGCTTACGTGGCGCTATTCGTCAACATCGTCCTCATGTTATTATTGTTGGAAATAATTCTGTTGAAAGTGAAACACTTGATTTATGGCGTGCAATTATGAGTTATGATGTTCAATTAACATTAATTCGAAGAGGTTCATCACTTTCTCGTATTAATGTTAGACGAGCTAAACAATTAAATATAAATGTATTAAATACATTAAGTGTGAATTCTCGATTTGTTGTTGAGTATATGATTGAACATCTTCATTTACCAAATAGTGATACTTGTTCAACAATTGGAATTATTGGGTCAGGTGCTATTGGAAGGCGAATTGCGTATCGTTTATCTACAGCTAAACATAAAGTTAATGTTTACAGTCCATCATTAACAAATCCTGATGAATCTGTTCGGAAAAAAATTCGAAGAAGCAAAGGTATTGATTTACCTAATATAAATATTTCCATGACACCTGAGCAAGCTGTTATAAATGCTACACATGTTGTAATTGCCGTTGATGCTGATAGAGTTACAAATGTTAATGAACAATTATCTAAAGAATTTTTTCAAATAATACCAAATGGAGCAAGAATCGTGTCTGTGACTGAATTTCGTGTATTTGCTCAAGGAGCACTTGATATTCTTATTGAACGTGTTCGACAAGGACAAATTAGTGCCCGTTTAGATTCACACGCATTCGATATAATTACAATTCAAGATCCTCCAACAGAGTTAGAAGCTGTATCAGCTGCTATGACAGTACCTGGATGTGGTGAAGCTATGGATCAAGCTGCTATTGTTCTTCTTTCCAATGTGGTCCTTGAACAATCATTTAAATCACCATTGCCATTTTTTATTGATTCATCTAGAAAAAATGAAGAAATTACTGTTATTGGAGCAGGCATCATGGGTTTAGTGGCTGCTTTCTTTCTTAGTGAAAGCGGTTATAGAGTAACTATTATTGATGAACATAATTGTCCTAAGCCCAAAAGTGTATCTAGTGAAAATGAAATATGTTGTCGCGGTACAACACTTGATGGATGTGATGCTCGACATGCATCTATAACAGAAACAATGCCACATGCTGTATTCTATAGAATAGATAGTTTAAGAAAATATCCGTTAGATCGAGGAGGATGGAGAATAATACGTGATCAATTTAATAATCAAGAACTAGTATGGATTGATAGATTTAGTGAACTAGCTGGTTATCCAGAATTAGTTGTCAATTTATTTAATCGATTCGTATCAAATATAAATAGACGAGGAATCGAATTATGGGAAGAAATGTCTAAAGTCTATTCACAAATAATTCAAGATACAATTAAAAATCGTCGAATTATTAAAATATGTTCATTATCAAATCCAATAAGAACTGTTGCATTATATCAAGCAAAATATCACAGAAGCGAAGAAAATCTTTTAATGTTATCACGTTCACAAGTTCTTGAAAAAATACCTGGTCTTGTACTGAGAGATGGTGATGCTGCTGGAATAGAAGTGCCTGGTTTTACTATTAATCATCTAAAACTTTGTCAAAATATGATTGAATTTTTAGAAAAGAATCCAAATGTTAAATTTAAATGGTCAACTCAAGTTTGTTCAATTGATGATATATCTTCTTCAAAAGTAATATTTGCTTCAAGTCTTAATCGATTGGATTCTCCACTGTTAAATAATGTATCATTAGCTGTTCAAGGTGTTCTCGGATGTTGGACAAAACTTCCGAATGTTCATTTAATAAAAAATGGATTTAAAATAGCAGAAAAAGAACCAATCGGTGTTATTAATGTAACGCCAAGTTATGATGAGCAACATTTATATGCAACAGGTTGTTTTGCTTTTTGTGGTCAACGTGGCATAGTTCAATCGCTTTATCTTGATCAATTAATTGAATTATTTTATTCAACAATACGTTCTTATTTACCGGATGAAATCGATGCCAATGAATCAGAAATTCTTCCAACAAAATTTTGTATTCGTCCGATGACTCCAGATGGAATGCCAATAATTGCTCAATTGACTGCTGACAATAACCGGCAACAAGTTTATTTTATTGGTGGAACAAATGCTGGAGGATTTGTTCAATCCCCAGTTTTAGCAACAATTCTTTTAGATTTAATTCAAGGTTCAAAAAGTGATACAAATCTTCGTCATATTTACAGATCTTTACGTCTCGATAGAAATACATTATTATTTAATTAAAATTCATCGAATTGTTTCAATCAAGTTGAATCAAAGCTCTGCTATCATTCATTGTTTTATAGTGAATCCAATGAAAATGTTTTATTTCATTTCTAGATAAAAATATTTGTTGTTCTCAAATTGATTTAATTGTCGACAAATATTTTTTTTTCTTGTTATATATGACTATTATTTATTTTTGACAAACAAAAACTTACTAAAAATTTTTAACGAAAATTGGTTTTAAATGATCGAACTTTTTAAAATCAGAAAAAACTCATTAAAAACTTGGAGACGAAATGATTTCCTGTTCTATTCATAGTTCATTAGGGTAATCTTGATTATATAAGATATAAATTTAGAGTGATATTTAATAGTTTTCTAGCATTATTATCATGGATAAATGAACTCTTTGAAGCTTACGAAAATGAGTACAAAATTATTTTTTGTCCGAAATTGTGTATGTTCGAAATAAGAATAGGCTTCTACACGTTTATTCTGTATATTTTCTGCATACACAATTGAGTTTATTTCAAAAAATCATAAAGAAAATCGGTGTAAAAACAAAAAGGAGGATGCACACTGAAATAGAGCGTTAGAACAATCAAAAGAAGGGTCTACAGGAATATTTCGAATTAAACAATATTTGGAGGTAGATCCACATCCTTTTTCTAATGGAGTTAGCCTTATCTTTTGTGATTATTTATGTTGCAACCAATTCGTATTAAAAGAAACTATTTTTGCTTCAGCCATTTGTATTATACTTAACCATGACGCTTTTGTATTACTTTTTGTTTGCATTAGATTAACATTCTTTTTTATTCTACTGCAAATGCTTTATGTAATTTATTAGCGTGTGTCTAGACATGATACTTGTAAGTTTTTAAGGACTACCTTTATATCATGGCTGCAACTTCTTGAGGACTACGTGCATATATTGCTTATAACATCCCATCCATTGGTATTTTTGAATGGATTATTAGTTTATCAGTTTCATTAAAAAACTTGGCATATCTTTTCGAACACGAATTGCTCTAATAATGCAGAATGACATATATCCAGTTTCTCTGTTGGCTTTGATGACATATATTAACAGATAAAAATGCCAAGATTACTACAAGAATACCCGAAGCACTTGTCAAAAATATCTGAGGATGTTGGTGTGGCTGTGGCGACTCTTGCACTTGAGAGTGAATGTAGCTGTAAAGAAAATCCTCATAGTCATACGTACACTTTTCTTTCATATTTTCTAGTCACAGTTAATGAATTACTCTTGATTTTCTTTAATTAAAAACTATAAAGCATTATGTTGAAAATTAATTTGAAGTGAAGATGATTAAGAACTACATAGAGCCTAAAAAAATCAATATTATTTCTAATTATTTAAACTGCTATAAAAAGACGAAACTTTGTACATAAAAAATTATTAAAAAATAGAAAGAAACGGAATTTTTTCGAGACGAACGAAATCAACGATGACTGCATAATAAATCCTATTATCGATCGTCTATATGAAGTACCTACAGTCTATATAATATCAGGCAAAATAGACATTTTTTCATGAGAAAAAAATGTAAAATTCGCATGAAGCGAGAAACTCGTCCCATGAAGCCTTGAACAACATGCACTCTGCCTTGTGCGGCAGTGGTCGAAAAACATGTCCTTTTGCAAACCTTGAAATTCAGAGACAACAAGTAATATTCAACTTCACTAAAATGATTGAATCGTAGGCATTATGAGAACTTTGATTAATCGAAATCAATATTCGAATGTAATATTTCTTTATTGTGAACAATGTTTTTCATTTTTAATAAACAAAAAAATAACACTTGCACAATCAGGTACAAAACAAAATGTACTTTCATAGTACATGTACACACAAACTTCATGATTACCTGATGCGATTCATTTATGCATTCTGTCACTAATAATCTTGAGTAAGAAATGATTATTTGCACTTCGAACTATTCACCGCTTCAAACACTCAACTATTGATACAACAGCCGACGGCAATATCGGTGCCAATCGAATGTTCTGTGCGGTGCAAAAGTATAATTTGTTTCACGTCAATACTAAATCAGAGACAACAAACATTTTTCTCTGTGCAAATAAATAAGCAATCAGAAGGATTTCTACCTTTACTATTCATTTGTTTTACTGTCATTTTTCAATATTTTTTTCCCCTCGATAGATGCATTTTGCATTCAATAATAGGCAGTTTTGCATGGTAAAGTTCTTTTCGTAGAGAGTTCTTCTAGATAAAAAGAACATGATAATAAAAGAAAAATTTTCCTTCTGACTGAGAATTATCCTCTACAAGATGGAGCAAGAACTTTGAGATGTGCGGTATTGCTCGTATGATTATAACTTCGCGCAGAATTCATTTTGAATAGACTTTCCCACGACAGAGTTCGGAATCGGACATGACTCAAACTGAAGCATCTCGACTCGATTCGGGTATGTGTCACTTGTAAACTTTGAACAATTATTATATGTATTCGATTATGTCTTCTTATATTTTCCAGGTCGATCATTCGCTAAAAGGTACTCGATGTAAATGAACATCAAAATTTCAAAGAGTAAATTTCAGTCTGTTTTATCGATGTCTTGGGGGGGGAGTGAATCTAACTTCAATGTCTTGGTTTTAGTTCGATTCGAGACAAACAGAGCTCAATCCGAGCCGACATCGGAAAAGTTGTCTACGCTTCAGATTTGGCTTCAAACTCGAAATTTCTATTAGTACTTTCGAAATGGTGCGATCTCGCTTTTATTTCAATAATATGATTCTCATGAACTAGTGTTACTCAACTCAGTTGAATTTCATAACCTGATTCTTTTCATATATTCAGCTAATGTAGCTAAGTAAGTTCAATATATGATAAAGTTACTTAGCTAAGAACACTTTTTTGTCATTAGGTAGGACTTAACAACAAGTAGAGTATTGTAGATAGTTGAAGTACGCATTGCTCAATCGAATTCTTAGTATGCAGCAGTTTATGTTGTATTTCGGTGTCCACTGAATAATGTATCTTCATTATCTTCTTGGCAATTTGAATCAGTCCCAAAACGATCAGTTGGGGTGCGGGGTGAGGAGGAGACCATTGCCTACCCATACTCACACCCACACGTTCATTTAGATATTTGGTTTCGAATATGGCAATACTTTTTTGTTGCATTTTTTTTTAGAATTGCCTTTTTCCATTTTTTAAGAAAATGATAGATACATCATTCTCGATTTTCACTATGCTATGGTTATCTGTTCTAATTTCTACGGTTGTATCCTGGCCACTACCACGAAATCTGTGTATTTCATCCATTGGATTACGGAATACCTCAAAACCAACAACTATTGTTGGCACTGGTACATCTGCCTCATGTAACCAAAGTGCATTGTCTGCTGCTCTTCTCAAAGGTGGCATTATTACATTTAATTGCGGTAGTTCACCAAACATAACAATTAATGTTAATACTACTTTGCAAGTATCGAAAGTCAACGATACAGTCATTGATGGAGTAGGTATTGTGACATTGAATGGATTAGGAAAAACTCGCATAATGAATTTCGATCGTGGTGATTTTCGATATTCAACACCAACATTAACTGTTCAACGTCTTCGATTTATCAATGGTCGTTGTCAAGATGTTGATGGTGGATGTGCTATTTTACAGAAAAATGGAGGAACTACAATTATCAATAGTTGTAGCTTCGAGAACAATATTGGTCCTGTAGTTGGTCAAGATGTGGCAGGTGGTGCTGTATGGACTATAGGTGGAGGTACTACTGTGATTGTCGGAAGCGTTTTTCTTAACAATAAATGCTCAAATGGCGGAGCACTTGGTATTCTTGGTAGTGGATTAACTATATACAATAGTCATTTTGAGACAAATCAAGCTACTGGTAATGGTGGAAATCCTGGAAATGGTGGTAATGGTGGCGCAATAAGTTTCGATGGATTAGGACGAAATAACACAATTTGTGGAACAAGATTTACTAGAAATCAAGGCAATAAATACGGTGGTGCATTCTTTCGTGTATCTTATAATGGAAGTGAACAAAACATATTCGATACCGTATTAATCGATAATAACTTCATTTCGAAAAATACAAGTGGTTTAGCTGGTGGACTGTATATTCAAGGTGGTATTGTATCGATTCGTAATGGTACCATTGCAAATAATTCTGCAGACGGAGCTGGTGGAATCTTTTTCGCCAATGATAAAATAGTTACATTGAATGGTGTAAATCTATTAAATAATACAGCATATACAGGTCTTGGTGCGGGAGTTTTTTGTTCAAGTCCAGTATCAGGATCATTCACTGGTCTAACTGTAGCCAATAACTTTGCTGGTGCTTTTGGTGCAGCATTTGCCTTTTGCACCACAACAATCACACTTTCGAATTCAATCATTGCTAATAACAGAGTAGGAAATCCATGGCCAGCAAATGCATGTACAAGTATGATGAAGGGTAGTACAGGAGTAGTTCAGTCACCAATAAACAAGCAAAGTCCTGCTACAGGAGAAGATGCTCCATGTATAAATGGAACAATTACAAAGTTAAACAATGTTTCAATTACACTAAACACGGCGACATGGAAAATTCAAAGCAATAGCGTACCACCAGCATACCTAGGTCCAATGATCATTCCTGGTTTATAGATCAAAAATAGATCGATGATTTAGAAAATAAAAAGACATTATCATCAAACGAAACAAACATTATTGATTCTCAGAACTTTCTGAAAAACTTTTATTATCTACAAATAAAGGGCATATAAACAAACCTTTTCTATAGTTTTATTCAGCAAATTCAGTTTTTTTTATCATAATAAAGCATGAAACATATTCAAAGGAAAAATCCTCTTTTTGATTTTTTTTCTTGGAGGTTATATTTAACTATATATTATACCATATTGTTACATGCTGTTCTTCGATATAACCTTGAGTTTGTATGTTTTCGATCTGAAGTTGTGCCCATTCAGCAAGAATACTATATAAGCACCAGCATAAACTACAGGTAA